AAAAAAAAAAAAAAAAAAAAATTAAAAATTATTTACAACGTAAAAAAATATAAAAAAAATACATAGTCAATTTTCAATGTCTTCCCGATGTCATGGTATTTTTTTTGAATTTTTTCGAAATTATTTTTATGGTCAAACGAGCCGTAAAAAGTTGAGAGGGAAAGAACAGAGAGAGAAAGTAGAGAGATAGTTGAAGGGAAAAAACGTAATTGAAGGGCGGTGAGGAGTAAAAGGGGGGACGATAAGTAGTAATGCCCAAGTATGTGTTGACTTATCCAATAGTTAAATCCAACTATTAAAAATTTGTAATTGATTAATGTTAAACTGGTGAGCCCAGTCAAGAATCTTAAGAAAAGCTTGGGTAAGCGTTTTATGAAGAGAACAAAAGCGGATCTAAGGCCCATGTTTAAAATATTGAACCCAAAATTATTAAGCCCAGCCCATTAAAAACCACGTGAATCAACAGATTTACACACTATGTTAATTTATTTTATTTTTCCATTATTATCTAAGTTTGAAGCTTTTTTTCTCGGCCGAAATTTACAGGTGAATTCACTCTTGCGAGCCCGACATTTTTCCAGAATCGAGCTCTGGTTTTTACATACTCTTACGAATGTTCTGCAATTTTTTTTCAATTTTTTCGTTGCTTATTGTTTTGATTCCGTTTAGGAGCTACAAATTTTCTGATTCTGTTCGTTATTTGTTTGTTTGCAGTTTTCGATTTAGGGGATCTTATCGGATCTCATAGTATTCAAGGTACGTTTCTGTAAATTTTCCCTAAAAATTCATAAATTTACAGTTATTTTATTGTGCCTTGTTTCCTGTTTCGATAATGAATTAGTGATTACCCATGAGGGCCCATTCGTGTTTTTGAGCTAGCTTGAAGGGATTTGTTGGTGAGGATTTGTGATTCTTGGCATTAATCAACTAATAAGAATGAAAGCTTGTTTGAGATTCATAGTATTTGGTTCGACTAGTGAAAACTACTATCTCATATTGGGGAAAAAAGGAACACAATGAAAATGGTTCTTTTATTGTCGTAAAACTCTCTTGTTGTCTTTAGTGTTTATATTCCTGAAGTCTTCGTCTCGGTGCGTGCGTTTGAATGATGGGAAATTCGCGTTTTCCTCTGCCTGTTTTGTGCCACAGGTTATTCTGTGTCTTTCTTTGTCCCTTTTTTGTGTTGTTTTTGCCCTTTCTCCCATCACAAATTCTTGTGTGAGGGGACCTTTCTTATTTTTTTTAACAAAAACCCATAATTATGTTACGAATTCGAAATGTCAATACTTTTGTTCATGTTGTCTTTTAGAATATGACATTTAAGTTTGAAATTGTACATGTTATCTGGTGAAAATATATGGTTGCAGGTTTGCCTAACCGTTTTAAGCTTGCCTTTCAGCAAGCTTACTGTTTTCCTGTTAAGTCATCGTATCTATAAATTTGTGGTGGTTACAGATGGGGTTTATAATGGAGTTTGCTGAGAATTTAGTACTCCGGTTGATGGAGGACCCAACGGAGAGAGATAGGAGGTTCAGGGAGCATTTATACAAATTAAAAGAAAATGGCAAAAAGGCTAAGGAGTATTGGAGCTTGCCCCTCCGACCCTATGGCTTCTGGACATTCGAGCGCCACAATGCTCAAATTTTCTGGGATGCTCAGATAAGTCAAGTCCCCGGGCGCCGGGACCCATATGATGACCTCCTGCAGGATTACACCAGTGCTTCATCCTCCAAATGATGTGGTTAGTTTCTCACGTATTCTGATGTTTTTATGATGATTGAATCCAAACACTTTTTTTGTTTGTTCTAGGTGGGTTGAATCTGTGAGTTGTTGTTTTGTCTTGTCTGAATTTTTTAACTTATTCAAGACTTGATATATTGTGTCGATTATTTCTTTTGAAATGGTTTCTTGTATGATTTGAAGATTAAAAGAACTAAATATTGTAGCTGAACATTTCTGCAGTAGTTGTGACTTGTGGAGGGTGAAATATGTGTAGTGGAAAGGTTGTTAACTGAAAAAGCAAACTTTAAATCCGTGCTGATTTTGAAAAGCTGCGGAGAAGAAAAAGAAAAATGAAAAAAAAATGTTGCTATTATCACAAGCTCGTTAAATGTGGTAAACTTGAAATGCGAGGGTTGGAATTGAATTTGCACGTGCGAGAGAACAAAATATGTGAGGCTGAGATATTGAGATTAGAAGTCGAAGTTAGAACAGAAAAATGTTTTCATCTCTAAGAGGTCATCCCAGTAAGTCGAGTTATGGACTCATCCCGTTGAATTCATAGTATTAGCAAATTATGTTACAGTTTAGTAATGATTCTCGAGCAAGGACTAACAACATATAGTAGTTACAAATACAGTCTTGTGGTATTAAGATTAACTTTTTTTTTT